GTGGTCAGTCCATGGCAACGGAGAGATGGATAACTCCTCCACACCGCCACCCTGCTCCCATCCCTGACAGAAAACCAAGTCCAATGTATGTCCAGCACAGTGGGTGGGGCCAGATATTTGTTGGGACAGCCCCATGGTTGCCATGGCAGACATGAAGTCCTGAGCCGCTCCTGTGAGGGTCGCCTCGGCGTGGATATTGAAGTCTCCCAGCACAAGAAGCCGTTGAGACTCCAACGCCAGGCTCGAGACCACCCCCTATTAGGACAAAGATAGTCTGGGCATGTTTTCCTGGGAACTTTAAAGGGACAAAATGTTGTGGCATATCATGGACTGTAACTCCTAACATCCCTCACCATTGCTGGTTTGGCCTGTTGAGAGATGAAGTCCAATAAAATCAGTAGGACCACATAATTTACATTCCTAGGATATATGGTTGGTCAACAAAAGCATATTCAGGAATCCTAGAACAATGCAGAAATACTTTCTACCTATTCTTTCATTATTGTCCGAAACATTCTCATAAGCTTTTCTGCCTTGCTATTAAGTATGCTCACATTCCTAAAAAGTCCATGCCATCTATGTCATCATGAAATGGAAGTCATGGTCACTTAATTTGATCATCCTCAGGAACAATTCGGGTTATCTAAAGGATAATATTCTCCCAAATGAGTCTGCTCAGGATTAGAGATCTTCATAGAATCACGGAGTTGGACAAGACAAGGGCCATCCAGCCTGTTTAAAAATCTCCCAAAAAAGAAATTCCACCATAATCCAAAACAGTGTATTCCACTGTTCTTCCTAATGGAATCTCTTTCCCTGTATTTTGAATCCACTGTTCCATATCCTAGTATACAGAGGAGTAGAAAATGGGTTTGCTCCATCTTCAATATGACATTCTATTAATTATTTAAATATAGTGATTATGTCAACTCTTAACTGTCTCTTCTCCAGACTAAACACACCCAGCTCCCTAAACCTCTCCTCACAGGGCATGATTTCCAGATCTTTATTTATTTATTTATTTATTTATTTACTCTATTTCTATACCGTCCTTCTCAGCCTGAGGGCGACTCAGGGCAGTTTACAAAATGGCACAATTCGATGCCACAATATTATAAAAACAGCTAAAAGCATATAACATACATAAAATTCCATAAACAGTAAAATCAATAAAAGCATAAATCCTCCGCATCTCAATACCAAAATCATTATCTGATCACAATTGTCCAGTCGTTCCGAGGTCAAGAAGTTATCTGCTACACTGCATTTGAGAAAGCCTGCTCACAAAGGCAGGTTTTGACTTTTTTACGAAATATTAAGAGGGTGGGGGCCGATCTAATGTCCCTAGGGAGGGTGTTCCACAGCCGAGGGGCCACCACTGAGAAGGCCCTATCTCTCGTCCACACCAACCGAACCTGTGAAGAAGGCGGGACTGAGAGCAGGGGCTCCCCAGAAGATCTTAAATTCCTAGATGGTTCATAAGGCGAGATACGTTCCTAGATGGTTCATAAGGAGAGATCTTTTACCATACTGTTCACCCTGCTTTGAACATGTTACAGCTTGTCAATGTTCTTCTTAATTTGCAGTGCCCAGAACTGGACAGAGTATTCCACGTTAAGTTTGACAAAAGCAAATTAGAGTGGTACTAATACTTCCTTTGGTCTAGACTCTATTTATCGATGCAGCCAAGAATCACATTGGCTTTTTAAACTGTCACATCACACTGTTGACTCATGTCCACCTTGTGATCTACCAAGGCTTCTATATCCTGTTTACATATTCTGTTGTCAAACCAGATGTAATTTCTGCATTTGTTTAGTGCTCTACATTTCTCCATGTAAAAATCGTTTATTTTGGCTCAGCTCTCTAATCTGCTAAGGTCATTTTGATTTCTGGTTCAGTCCTCTAGAACATAAGTTACTCCTCCCAATTTGTTGTCATTTGCAAATTTGATAAGCATATTCTCCATTAAATCATCCAAGGCCTCTTCTACACTACCTGTATCCCATGATCTAATCTCAGATTATCTGTTTATCCCAGATTATCTGGCAGTGATGACTCAGGGTCCCTTCTACACAGCACTTAAAACTAGGAAGTTAACAGGTTAAAGGGGGGGGGGGGTAGCTACATGACTCTATTGGCAAATCCGCACTGATTCACTGCAATGGACGAAAAACACATGTTAAAAAGGTCCGCTTATATCCCAATCCCAGTTGGAAACTGAGTATATTTGCATCACTGTATATCCCTGCACATGTGATATCCTTCCCTCATCTGGATTTTCATGTTGTGTGGAAGTGCCATCATATCATCCAATATAAAGCAAATAATCCAGCATCAGGTCCTGGGATATAGAGCAGTGTAGAAGGTGCCCTAGTCATTGGTAAAGATGTGGGAGATTACTGAGCTCAGGTCAGACCCCTTCTACACTGCCAGATAATCCAGGTTATCGAAGCAGAAAATCCACATTATCTTATTTGAACTGGATTATTTTCGGCCCCTTCTACACTGCCATATAACCCAGATTATGGAAGCAGATAATCCAGGTTATCTGATGTGAACTGGATTATATGAGTCTATACTGCCACATAATCCAGTTCAAAGCAGATAATCTGGATTTTATGAGGCAATGTAGAAGAGGCCACAGTCTACACTACCAAATAATCCAGGTCAAAGCAAATAATGTGGATTTTATACAGCTGTGTAGAAGAGTTCTCTGATCCCCGTGGCACCCTATTAGTCACTTCTCTCTAGGATGAAGAGCCAATGGTGAGGAACCACTGGTTTTGGCAGA